TTATTCTACAAAATCAGAGCCTGCTTGCTTTTGAGGGTTTGGAGTCCAAAAAGCTCTTCTAGTAAAGGATGTGCACTAGGTTCAGCCAAGCCCTTGGGTGTCTTTAGCTTTCTTCAGTAGCTGTTCAAAGATGTTTTGGAATAATTGTTCTTAGTTTCTCCCTTTTGTATGCTTGGTCTTTGAATTTGAAAGGGTTTTGATTTTGTAGGAGTTGCATTAGTGTCCATTGTCATGAACTCTTGATTTTGTAGTGTATCAAGTTGTAAGCTATGAGGATGTGCTTCATGGTAGGGTGGTTTTCCAGCTTCTATTCTACAAAATTAGAGCCTGATTGCTTTTGAGGGTTTGGAGTCCAAAAAGCTCTTCTAGCAAAGGATGTGCACTAGGTTCAGCCAAGCCCTTGGGTGTCTTTTGCATTCTTTGGTATTCTTTAGTGGTGGTGTCTGTTGGACAGGGGCTGTTCAAAGATGTTTTGGAATAATTGTTCTTCTTGGTTTTTATATTTAGAAGGGATTTTGATTGTGTAGGAATACATTAGTGTCCATTGTTAGGATATTTTGATTGTGTAGTGTATCAGATTCGTAACTCTATCGGGGTATGCATCTTAGAATAATACTTCCAAGCAGTAGTCTTGTTTTTTTCTTCAGAGTACAATTGCCCATATTGTAGTGCACTATTTGGGAAAGCCTGAGGATGGGGAGAACGAGTGCATGGGCTACTGCGTTACTTCGTTAGAAAGCGGCGGGACCCTGTGTCTCTTGCAGGAAGAGTTCAAGATCTGGGCAACTCACAACAAGCTGGACAGCAATGTTACAAAGAACAACTACACTTGCAATATGACCTCAGGGACATGGTATGTGCGGCATCACAACTGCAAAGATGTCTATCTTCCACCGACCAAGAAGCATTGTGATGATTGCAAGAGTTTGGGCGAACCTCGTGGTGTGCAGCGCCTGGTGATTCGCTTTATTGCAAAATACCATTGTGCCCATTTACTGAGCAAGCGCCTGTTTTCTCCACAGGAGGAAGCGCAAGATTATGTTGCACAGGTTGCCAGTAGTGCTTATGGGCAGAAGCATGCAGTGCAATGGAAACGTCTGAGTGAATTATCCAACCAGGAGCTTCAGAGCTATGTTCGTAGCAGCTTTGCCTCTATCAGTCCGCAGGAACATACTTCAGCTCTCCAAATGCTCATTCATGCACTTGTTCAGCCCTGCCTCAAAGTCAATCCCACCTGCATCAGCTCCAGGATGGTCTCTCTTTTCTCTGGATTTGTGGAAGCACTGTCCAAACAAAACCTGACCGTACCTTGTCTGTTAATATCTTGTATATGTTGATTGTTTTATAATGTTTTGGTATATATATAGTATCGCTACAAAATCAAAAAGATAAGACTTGATACAGCATGAACTCTCTACAAAATCAAAGATATATAATGAAATATAATGATATATATATATATATTATATTTTTGAAAATATATTTTATGTTTTCTTTTTCTATTTGTTTAAATATGTTTGAAGGTTGTTAGTGATGTTAAGCGTTTCCTTTCCTGATTTTGTAGATTTCAAGATCAGGAGCTTGAGCAAATCAACTTGGAGATCATGAAAGCTGCCTCTTCTGGCCGATTAGATGAGAACCCTATAATGCAGGGTCTTGTCGTGCAGTGTATCAGAGCCTTGGACAAACAGGAGAGAGGCGTTTCTTTGGCAGGACGGAAAGCAAACTGCACAGAAACCGAAGCATCTCTGGTCCAGGACGCAGCCATGACATTGGCCATTTGTGGCAACAATCGGGGTTTGGCAGAGAAGCTGGGTCAGTACGCAACAGCTCCCCGAGTATGCCTGGACAGCTTGCATGCCAAAAGTTTGCCGAACCCAGTATTGGCTCTCATGGACGAGGAGCAGATGTCCATGAACACGCAGATCATAGACCAAAAGTTCCCGCGTCCTGAAGAGTCTAGCGCAAAAAGACTCATTGTGGGCATTGACCACACTTATCTCATCCGTGCAATTGTCCAATCCACATGGCAAGACAAGCGAGGCCTTGTAGGAGCTCCATGGAAGCCTGATGAGACCGCCGATGCTTTCATGCCATTGGACGACCTTCCAGGACAGCCAACCAAGAAGCCGAAAGCAAGCATGATGCTGAGCTGTCTTGCATGGAGTCCATTGACTATCCACCGAGAGGCCTATCCACTAGCAAGCATGCCGATGAGCTTGTCAAGAGAGAAGCAGGCAGACGAGACACTGGTCAAGAGTGGCAACATTGCCCCTTGAATGGATGGTGAAATACGATGTTTATGTTTTGATTTTTGTAGACTGTAGCTTATGGGCCATTTTGAGCAGGTTAGATTTTGTAGACTATACTTTATGGGTTCAACACAATGATTGTGATTCTGTAGTAGGACTATTTATTTGTGAAGCGTTGTGTTTTGCAAACATTTCTCAGCTCATTTTCCAAGATGCAGGAGATGCTCAAAGTCGTTGGAACCCTGATGGAACATTGTGGTTGGCTCTGCAAGGGCTTGACCTTCGATGCTCATGAAAGTCATTGTTACTTTCGAGAAGCCCTCATGGGTCACTTTGAACGGCTTGACGTAGCTCTTCTGTCTGACATACCATGGTTCAAAAACATCAAATATGCAGAGCTACCCATGCATCAGCTGCCTCGGTTGCCTGTACGCTTTTGCTTGGACAATGGAGAAGTTATCTGGCCGCTTCCTGGTAGCTGTCCTTTGTGCTTCTATTTGGATATGTTTTTGTTGTTTTATTTTTTTATTTTTATATATTTTTATATATATTCTTATAACTTGTTATATTTTTTAAAAATATACTTATATAAATATCGGAAATTAAAACCTGTTCGATGGTGAAGCATTATTTGCATTCCTCATGGCTTTGTTAGGTCATGCTACAAAGAATTGTGCTGGACAGCTTAATGCTCCTGGCCGCTGTTTGATTTTTGGGCGTTTCTTTTGCGATTCATCTGGCGCACGCAAATATGGGCTTCCGCCCTGTGCATATGCAAGAAAGTGCCCAATGGATGATGGCATGCATGCGGTTCTATGGAACCCTTATTATTGCATTGAATGCCCGGCGCCTTGCAACACAAGGAATTTAGGTTTTGGGAGTTTTTCTTTTTTTTTGATTTTGTAGTGTGTAACTCTTTTTGTTTCCTCTCAACATATCATTTTGTAGGTTAAGTTGTTTGATACTTCTGGAAGGGTTTGATTCTGTAGAGATATTAAACGTGTCTTCACAAACAGAGGACGTGTCCAATGACCTGGCCATTGTGCCATGGAACTGCAGGGGCTTTTTGCTGCTGAACCTTTGTGTAGCAATGGCAACCGTATCTTGATCCTTGCTGGGTACCGCTTTGATTCGATTCTTGTGTGTCAGCTCTTTATGTTCCCTCATTGTGTAATTTGTTGAAAGGGATAGATGCTGATCGCCTGAGGCACCCCTGACTCACAAGACCATGGACATTGCTGACAGGGCGCAGAATGCCATGACAGCATTTGTGGCCTTAGACCTATTTAGGTTGTGCGCCGAAGTTGAATGTTCAAGACGTGGCTGGCCAAAAGGCACGATGTTCTTGTCCCCTCAGACAACACGCAACATTCAAAAAGTTGCTCTCAGCGCAGTTGTGGTGGCAGCAACTTCTGACAGACAGGGTGACCCTTGGCGATTTGGCCATTTGCGTTTGTCTGAGTTGGCAGTGGAAGAGCACTTTGGGGTGCTTCGAATGCAAAGTGCCAGTGCTCAGTTGACAACAAGGTCGTTCTGGGTTGCCGAAGCCCGTGAGATGTTCAGACAGCAGATGCGGCACAAGAATGGATCAAGGCCAGTAAACCATGAAGCAGGCATTCTCTCACAGTCAGACTTCTTTGATGCCAGTGGCAAGGCATTGCGCTCTGCCCTCCGCTTAGTTGCATTCTGTGCAAATGTGACAGTCACTAGGTTGATTTAGTTGTTGTATGTTTTGTTTATTTTTTCACACTCTTAACTTTTTACATCTTTTTACATATTGATCCTGCGCTTCCACATTTTGATTCCATAGCGTATTGTTGTCAAACTTCTGGACACGGTTGGGTGTGTGTTGACTTGCAAGGTTGAATCCCTCGAGACGATGTACAGGGAGTGGTGTGCAGGTGGCAACTTTACCTCGGATCCTGAGCCCCTTGAACCTGACTTGGATGAGCTGGATGAGGAGGAAGAGGTGATGAATGAATGCCAGGAGCTGCTTACCCACATCAGGGATGAGGCTGGTATGGGTGATGAGCAATTGGAAGAAGAGCCAAATCTACTTGATTTTGCTTTGCGAGATGTTCCTGACGCAAGTGAACTGAAAGAGGCTATGGGGAGTGTGCCCGAGCACCCCCATGCTGAGACGCCAGATGCTGGGAAGAAGGTCAACAACCCAAAGAACCTTCACGCGGCTTTGTGCTTCCTCAATCCCCAGGCCAGTGCGACTGAGGTGTTCGATCAGATCTGGCGTTTGACCATGTCATTGCGGTATTGGAAGGGTGGGCCTGACCGACACTGGGTGAAAAACCCAAGGTCATGTCGCAAGGCATCTTCCAAATTGAACTGGTATCAGCACCTTGGCTGTTTTTTTTTTGTGTTCGTCCAAATGTCCAGATATTGTAGAGAAATCTATATGGATACTCTTATTTGTTGTGATTTTGTAGTGATATGTACAATTGGTTTATGTTAATATATTTTGATTCTGTAGTGACTGCACACTGTTGATAAACAAATTATTTACATGTTATTTCTTTCGATTTTTGTTTCTGTAGTGTTTATGTTTGATTAGTATTGGCAGGGCCTGATTCTGTAAGCAGTTTACCAGGTGGAATGAAAAGAAGCTGAAGGAGATGCGTTTGGAGGAAGATGTTGATGTCTTTCGCCAGCGCACGGGCCGCTTGGAGAAGTGGCGAGAGGCCGCGCAGGCTGCTTTGAAAAAGCAATCTGACGGAGAACTGCCAGATTCAATTGAGAAGCCTGTGCCTGACTAAATGTATTTTGTTTTTTTTATATTTTTGAGTCTCTTTATTTTCCTGGCTTTTTGAAACAGTTTCTTTTCGGTGCCTCAACCTGGGTCATTCAGGATGGGCAACATTGTGATCGCAGTGGTGCCGAAGAAGACACATGGGATCATTGCACGCGTGGC